AAGAGCTCCTGGTGAGGACATTCTGGGTGGGGAGGAGGCTGCAGTAGGAGGCTACAGTGGGAGGCTGGTGAAGGCCAGGCTACCAGGGCAGCTGCCAGCTAAGGAGGAGCCTTGCTCTTTTCCAGGGCCACTCATTTCTCAAACTATGCTATTCAGGGACATGGGTACCATTCTTCCTTCAACTTACATTGAACAGAATTTGTCAAGATGTTATGTTATGTTCCTAGAAGTTGAGGACATAAAAAGGATCCAAACATTTTATATATGTGTGTGTGTGTGTGTGTGTATTTGATATTCAAACCATTGGTTCAAAATCAGAATAAACAGGCCTAAAGTCAACATTATAGAAACATTTCCTTATTTTAAAAACTATATAGCTCAGTTGGTAGCATGATTGGCTCACATTCACAAGGACCTGGATTCAATCCCCAGCACCACCAAAAACACAAAACAAAAAACTATATACAGTGCTGAAAAGTTAATTCTGAGTTATTTAGTTAGTAATTTCAATTAGGAAATGTCAGGTATAAAAACAATTACCTGTTTTAGAAAATGGTAATATTAATATATCTGAGTTATTGGTACAACATTAAGTATTTCTTTTGTTTGGTTTTTATATGAACTTTAAAAATACTAATTATGTTTCTGTATTTTTATGTATCTATGTATTCTTCCTCCAGTTTTAACAGTGATATCTTTTTCTTTCTTTCTGTCTTCCTTCTTTCATATATTTTTAGTTCTTGTTTTCTGGTGAAGTATTTTAAAAACAAATCCCAGAAATAATGTTGTTTTATCGTGAATACTTCTCCCTAGCAGATAAGGACAATTTTTATCTTTGAAAATAAAACTACCATGTTATTATTGCAAATTAGAGAACATAATAATTCCTTAATTTCTTCTAATATCTGTCTATATTCATATTTTCCTAATAACAAATAATTTTTTTCCAGATGACCGTTCTAATTGGATCCAAACAAGATCTGCTTTTTTGTACCAAGTTGACCCCAGTGACGCTCAATCACTGAGCCACATCCTTAGCCCTTTTTAAATTTTATTTAGAGATAGGATCTCTCTAAGTTGCTTGGTGTAGATCCTTAGAATTTAAAAATATATTTTTTTAAATTGTCAATGGACTTTATTTATTTATATGTGGTGCTGAGACTTGAACCCAGTGCCTCACACATGCTAGGCAAGCGCTCCACCACCACTGAGCCACAACCCCAGCCCTAGATCCTTAGAATTTCTACAGATTAAATTTAAGTACACTTGAGCTTATAGTCAGAATACACACTCACATGCACACATTCTGTCTCTCTCTCACTTCATTATGAGGAAGAGAACATAATTAGATGTCCCACGGCCTACAGACATTGAATGATCAAATGCAGTATAAATAATAATTATGTTTGAAATGTTTGAATAAATGCAAACTACAATAAAAATCAGTAATAAAAAGCGAAGTGTTAAAATGACCCAATCAGAACTTATAAAAAAGTAGAAATGAAAGACAAGAATGTAAACTAAACAGATTAAACACAGATGAAGATTGAATTAGTAAAAAGAACATATACTGAAAAAATTATCCAGAGTGCAGCACTGAGAGATGAGAGGTGAACAGTGACATTGAGAGGAAATAGACATTAGAATAAAAAGATGTAACTGGCACACACCTGTAAATCCCAGCGACTCAGGAGGCTGAGGTAAGAGGATTGTGAGTTCAAGGCCAGTCTCAGTACCTTGGCAAGGCCCTGAGCAATTTAGACCCTGTCTCAAAATAAAAAAATAAAAATGGCTGGTAATGTAGCTTAGTAGTTAAGTACCCCTGGGTTCAATCCCAGTAAAAAAATAAAAAAAAAAAAAAAGAAAAAGAAAGAAAGATGTTGTAAAATGAAGTTGGAATTCCAGATTAAAAACATATGGGAAGGGGCTGGGGATATAGCTCAGTTGGTAGAATGTTTGCCTCACATGCATATGGCCATGACCATGGCCCTGGGATTAATCCATAGCACCACCAAAAAAAAAAAAAAAAGAGAGAGAGAGAGAGAAGAGGCATTATTTAAGTGTTAATAACTTCAAACTTTAAAAACAACTAGTAAAAGACACAAATCCATAGATTTATGAAGCATGATATGTCCCAAGTAATTTAAAAAAAATTTAAAAATTTTAAAAAAACCCAAACCTCATTCCCATACATTGAAATTATATAACACCAAAGATAAAAAGAAGATATTAAGCTAGAGGTAAAAGTTAGATTATCTAAAAGGGAATACCAGGGGCTGAGGCTGTAGCACAGTGGTAAAAGTGCTTGCCTCGCATGTAGGAGGCACTGGGTTCAATCCTCACGACCGCATAAAAAAAAATACATAAAGATACTGTGTTCATCTACAACTAAATAAATATTAAAAAAAAAAATCCTTCCAGGGGCTGGGATTGGTAGAGTACTTGCCTAGCATGTGTGAGGCACTGGATTCGGTTCTTAGCACCATATATAAACAAATAAATAAATAAAGGTCCATCAATAACTAATAAAAAATTTAAAAAAGGGAATACCAACTAAGCTGACAACAGATAGCAGTATGAATAGAAGCTACTAGAGAGTAGTATAATTCCTGAAATTGATGAGAGAATATAATTTTTCCCCAGCCTATGGAAAACAATTTAAATGGTTGGATTAAAAAATAATCTAACGGGGGGCTGGGGATGTGGCTCAAGTGGTAGCGCGCTCGCCTGGCATGCGTGCGGCCCGGGTTTGATCCTCAGCACCACATACAAACAAAGATGTTGTGTTCGCCGAGAACTAAAAAATAAATATTAAAAATTCTTTCTCTCTCTCTCTCCTCTCTCTCCTCTCTCACTCTCTCTTAAAAAAAAAAAAATAATCTAACGGGCTGGGGATGTGGCTCATGCAGTAACGCGCTTGCCTGGCATGCGCTGAGTGCTGAGTTCGATCCTCAGCACCACATAAAAACAAAATAAAGATGTTGTGTCCACCAAAAACTGAAAAATAAATATTAAAAAAAATCTATAAAGGCTGAGGTTGTGGCTCAGTGATAGAGTGCTTGTCTAGTGCCGGTGAGGCACTGGGTTTGATCCTGAACACCCCATAAAAATAAATAAATAAAAATAAAGGCATTGTGTCCACCTACAACAACAACAACAACAACAACAAAAACAATCTAAGAACTGAACATATTAAAGGAACTTCTAAATCAAAATGTAGGAGCTGAGAAATCTTATTTAATATAATAAAGATTATTCAAAATGTCTACCAGAATGTAAGAGCTGGTAGACAGCTCCATAGGATGGAATCTGCCGGTGCTCTGAGGGCATTTGCTCATCTGGACAAAGTGGAGCTTTTGATTTTTAGAGGATTTATAGGGCAAGAGGAGTAGTTAGGCTCTGTGGCCTCTCAAGGTAGAAAGCCTCCTGCAGACTCCCTATACTCGCTGGAACTCTGGAGGGCCATATCCTTGGGGTTAGCATACACTGAGGCCTGTGCCCTCACTCCAGTCCCTGTCCCCAGGTGGCTATCTTTTCCTGCACTTAGAAGGAAAAAAGAAAAGGGGTAAATCTGTCTGTTAAGGATTAACTTTTATTAGGATTTTGAGCCTGGATTTATACTTTGTGGTAGTTCAGGAAAATCAAGCTTGAATTTATGGTGTTTTGGCTTGATAATGCCTTCAGGCATCCTGCAGGAGATGGAGAAAGTTATCTTCATCTTAAGATACAAAAAACCCTACTGATAATTTTTTTTCAGGACAATGATTAGTAGTCCACAGACAAAAATGACAAGGCACACCAGGAAAAAAGGCACCATGGGTTAGAACCAGCAGAAACAGCCCCTCTGGGCTTCAGGTATCAGAAGAGCTGGGCACGGCGGTGGCAGACTACGGCAGAGGGTTGTTTCAGCCCAGGAGTTTGAAACCAGCCTGAGCAATGTAGCAAAAGCCCATGTCAAAAAGAATTTAATGTGTAGGGTTAACAACAAATTACACGCAGCAAAGAGAAAAACAGTGAACCAGAAAACAGGTCAGAGGAATTGCACTGAATGAAGCAGAGAACATAGCAAAAAATACAGGAGAGGGGTTGGCGGTGTGGCTCAGTGGTGAAGCTCTCGCCTAGCACATGTGGGGCACTGGGTTCCATCCTCAGCACCGAAAAAAAATAAATCAATAAAATAAAGGTATTATGTCCATCTACAACTAAAAAAAAATTTTAAAAATACAGAATAGAGGTTCCATGGCATGGAGCATGGAGGGAGAATATCTAATGTAAATTTTTTTGGTGTTCTAAAAGGAGAAGAGAGAACAGTCAGATTTATTATTTGAGAAGATAAAAACTAAAGATTTTCTGCAACTGGTGAAAACAACAAGTCTTCAGATTCAAGAAAACGAATGATGAATCATAAGGAGAATGAATAAATTAAAAAATTAAAGCTAGTCAAAACAGAATAAAACATCAAAGCACCAAAGACAGAAAGGGATCTTAAACCAGAGGAAGAAGACAGATTAACTTAATATGAGCCATAGTTAAGAGGACGGTTTGTGTTAGTTTTTATTGCTTGTGATAAGATATCTGAGATAAAACAAAAGGAGGAAAGATTATTTTGGCTCTTAGTTTCTGAGGTTGCAGTTCCTGTACTGTTGCCCACATTGTTTTGGAGCCTGTGGGGAGACAGAATATCGTGCAAGAGAGCATATGGTGACTGGATATAAGGAGAGAGAGAAAGGAAGGGGCTTGGGTCCCAGTGTCCTCTCCAAGGGCACCACATCAGTAACCTAACTTCCTTCTATTGGGTATTACCTCCTAAAGGTTGTCACCTTCCAGTAGTGCCAAAGGCTGGTGACAGAGTCTTTCGCACATGAACCTTTGGGGAACACTTCAGACCCACATTGCAGCATGCCAGGTGCAACAGTGGGATGAAGTCTTCATGCTGAGAGCAACAATGGCTGACCTTCACTTCCTACCAGGCAAAACTGTCTTTCAAGAATAGGGGCGAGTCTCAGTGACATGGCTTCTTCTGAACCCCCCTGTGGCCTCAGTAGCAGAAAAGTGAAGAGGACCATGACAGAGACCAAGGCAAAGAAAAGAAGAATTAGGATGAAATAAAGACATTTTAAGGAAAACAGAAATTGAATTTGTTACTAACACCCAGCTGTGGTTAAGTGTGTGTCCCTCAAAATCAGGTTGGCACTTAATCCCTGGTGCTGTGGCGTTAAGAGGCGGGTCCTGTGGGAGGGGATTAATTCACACGGGCTTTACTCTGGTGGATGAGAGCTGCAGCCTGACCTAAGGACTTGAGGGAGTCTGCCCATCCCTTCTACCCATCTGCCTCATGAGAGCACCAAGGAGGCACCTCTGTGAGGAAGAAGCCCGTAGCAGACACCCTGTCCAGTGATGCCTGTGTCTTAGACTTCCCAGCCTCCAGAATGATGGGAAATACGTGCGTTGCTTATCAATCTCTCTGTCTGTGCTACTTGGCAGGAATGGACTAAAACATAGCCCTTTACCAAATATAATTCCAAAGGGTGGGTCTTAGGCAGAAAACTGATGCCACTGATGAGAATCAGGGCCAAGTTCCATTTCCCCAGATGTTGAAGGTTGAACACCCAAGAAACACCGAGGCAAGCATAGAAAGCAGATTTTATTTAAAGGTAGAACAGAGGTAGACTTCTCTGAAGAGAAGGGGCCTCAGAGCTGGGTGTCTGAGGAGGTGGGGGTGTCCTACCCCTGGGTTCTCACACCTTCCTTCCTCGTTTATCTTGTCCAAATGACTAGTGACCAAAAGGTGGGAGAGAAGCCTTCCAGGGGTGCCTCTCCACATCTGCCAAGTGGGCAGGAAAGGAGCCACCAGGAGGTGCTTCAGTGACAAGTCCCACAGTCCTGCAGGGAGGAACGTTTCCCTGAAACACAGCCTTGGCCACAGGTGGAAGAGGAGGGAGAAGGGCTTTGGAGATATTAGTATTTTATTTTCTTTCCTCTTGAATAAGCCCCCATATTTCTGATTGGGCCCAATTATTTATTACCTTCACTGGCTGTCCTTTTGCCACTCCCCTCCCCCCCAAACAATGGCCCAGGTGAAGAACTGAGATTCAAGAAAGGATTAACAACAAATATGTTAGTGAATACAAATGAACATTAGGGTTGGGGACGTCACTCAGTGGAAGAGTGCTTGCCTGCCTTTGATATGGAAGGCCCGTGTCTGAGTCCCAGCACTGGGAAGGAAAAGCATCTTGATATTGGTAGGTTTGCTCAGTGTATTGGTTTTTGCCTGTGGTTCTGGGATAGCATGGTCTTTCATCATGAGTTCCTTTGGAAATCTCATTCTGTTTTGGAAAAAAATTGACTATATTTTTAATTTCTTTTTTTTTTTTTTTTTTTTTGTACCAGGGGTTGAACTCAGGGACACTTGACCACTGAGCCATATCCCTAGCTTTAATTTTGTATTTTATTTAGAGACAGGGTCTCAGTGAGTTGCTAAGCACCTCACCATTGTTGAGGCTGGCTTTGAACTTGTGATCCTCCTGTCTCAGCCTCCCGAGTCTCTTGAGATTACAGGCATGGGCCACCGTGCCTGGCTAATTTCATTTTTTAAAAAATTTCATTTAATCAATTAATTTTATGAGTTACCTACATTTCTCAAACATACAACTGAAGACCAAAGAATCACATCCAACCTTAGGAAAGGAGTTTGCTTCTCTTTTGGTGCTCAGGAAGGACCTCCTGGCTGCTGCCCAGTTGTGTTTTGTTTCTTAGCTTCTTGTTCTGAGTTCCTTGAGCCCCCTTCCTTGAGAAGGAGAATAAATAGTACACAAGCTTCTCAGCTCATCTGTTAGCACAAAAGGACTGAACCAGATGCAAACTTCAGGGATCAGCAGAGCCTTTCTTTAGCAACGAAATTGACCTAAGGACTTGAGGGAGTCTGCCCGTCCCTTCTATCCATCTGCCTCATGAGAGCACCAAGGAGGCACCCGAAAATGAGCTCCTGGCCAAAGGGGGAGTCTGTGCTTATATGGTTACACTGAGAGGTGACTTGATTATTGACAGAGTGTGTCTAATGCAGGGCCTGGGGTCAGTGTTCAGTATTTATCTCTTTCCTTCCAGGGTCCCATTGTACTGTCACTGGGAAAGGATTTATTTATTTGTGTGTGCCACACACACACACACACACACACACACACACACTTATTTATTTATTTATTGTAATTGGGCACAATACCTTTATTTTATTTATTTATTTTGATGTGGTGCTGAGGATCGAACCCAGCACCTTGCACATGCTGGGCGAGCACTCTATCAGTGAGCCACAACCCCATCCCGGCAAAGGATTTATTTTGAGAAGGATCTATTTGGCGTCCTCTGAGAGACTGCCAATCTAGGCTTGATGGATATCTCCTCCCCAGAGATGGTCTTGCCACTGGGTGATGTTTGCTTCACTTCTAGGCATTGTCTCAGCACTGAGAAAGGAGGTATTGGGAAAGGATCAATATTATTATCAATGTGTGGCCTTTGTCCTCACTCTCTCTTCCCAGGCCACACTATTTTAGGGTTTGTCATTTTTCATATCTCATCATCTTTGCTGTGCTTAAGATACATGGCCATACAGGGCTTTTGTTTCTCTGTCACTGGGAAATGAGGGACAAGTATTAGTTTTAAAAGCGGAGGCAATGAACACTGTTGAATTTACAGTAGGCGTCAGTGACATCATATCCCTCCTTTCTTCTTTCAGTAAATTGAGTTAGTCAGCTTGCTTTGGGATATATTCTGATAAATGCATCACCTGGTGATTTCATTGTGTGCAAACAGTGTGGAATGCCCTTATACAATTAAGATGGCTGCAACATCACTAGGTGATATGATCTTATGAGGCCAGGTTGTACATGCTGTCTGTCATTGACTGAGATGTCATTATGTGGCACCTTGTTGTACTTGTTGAGCACTTATATGCCAGGCTTGTTGAATGACTCTTAGAACTTTTTGAAAAATATTAGTTCACAGGTGAAAAAGTTAGGAAGGTTGTTTAGATTATATTAAGGTACAGACTGAGGTGCTATAAAGAGATCCTGGAGACCACTGGCTTGAGTGGGGCCTTTCTTTCTTACAAAGATTGGTCTGGTAGTGACCCTTCCTCAATCTGTGGATCCAGAGTAGCTGCTCTGCCTCTTGGTCTCTCAGGGACAGAAGGGTCACAAGAACCACAGGAGCTCTCATGCCAAGTGAGAATTTGGGTTCTAGTTCCTTCCTCTCCCATGTCATTGACTAGAGTTTGGTCACATAACTACAGATGGCTGCAAGAAAGGTGGAAAACGTAGGTTTAAGGAAGGTGTTGCTGTTGAAGACAGAGAGTAAATGCCGGGGACCAGTGGGATTTCCCACCCTGCCCGGAGGCACCCCTGCAGAGTCTGTCTGGCTTGCTCGTGCACTGTGGGGTTTGGGAAAAAATTGATTTATTTGTTTAGTCAGCAAATCCATAAAAGATGCTAACTATGTGTCAGGCCTGGAGTTTTGACCCAGAGAAGGGAAGACTGGGTCAAAACTCTTAAAGGAGCTGTCTGTTCTGGGGACAGGCATGCACTCCTTCCCCAGCAGATCCCTCTGAGCCATGCAGCCTGAGGCAAAAGAGGCCGGAGCCCGCTTGTGCACAGGGCTAGGGTGGCTGTGCTTCCACAACTGCAGATGGCTTAGGATTTCTTTGAATTCATTAACATAGGCTTAGGTAAAGTATCCTTTCACGATTATTTTAATTTACCTTTATATTTGTGGCTATTCTTTTTACCTCTGACTTTGGGTTTTTGTTCACCTGTTTACCCCCTTTTTAAAATAAGGGGTTTGTTTTTTTGGGGGGGTATTTTTTCCCCCAGTAGTCTGTGCCCAGAGTAGACGTGTCGTGTTTGCCCTCTGAGCACAGATACTCGTCCCCACCGACTCATGCTGCTTTTTCTGTCGGACCAGGTGGGACCAGGTGGAATCCTCACATTTGACCTAGCAGAGTGTCGCCGAGCTTGCTCTCCGGGGCAGAAAGCAGATCTTGGGTTCTGCGGAGTTGGGACTGTGGGGCAGCTGACAACAGCTGCCAGCCTGATGCCCTGAGGGTGGGGCTGGGAAGAGAGTGAGCAATCAGCACTGCTGTGGTGCCACCAAGCCCGACCTCAGTGTGTGCAGGGGCCCCTTCGCTGTCACTTCTTTGTGCTGAGGGTCATTGAGTGGAGTGTGCAGGGAGCTGTTCCAGCCCTTGGTATAGAGCTCTGTTCAGTCAGACCTCACCACGGCTCTGTGGTGGAGATTCTGAGAAAACAGGTGGGAGGGGTTATGTAGCCCTCACACTTTTCAGTTTACCAGTTCCTGGTCTTAGGTCACATACAAAACCAGGACTTTGACTATAAGTCTTTAAAGAAAAAAAATAAGAGTCATTTTGTGGCCTGACAGGTCATATGGTACTAGACTCCAATTTTCTCTTAACGACCGTCTCCATTACAGAATGTTCTGTTTTGATGGGCTCTTTCTTGGAACAATAGGGTCATGTGGGCAACATTTCTGTTTGAAATCTACCTTCTGTCTGATGGTTCTGCCACCTGACAAAGTAAATAAAGAAGTGGAACCTCAAGTTCCTTTCGCTTGGCTTGGGTAAGAGTGCAGAAGGTGCTGGTAGTCCCCAGGGACTGTTGGAGGGGAGGGATCCTCCTAGACCAGCCAGGGCAGGAGCCAGCTCTTATTCTAAGGATGTGTCAAGTGGTCTCTGTGTCACCCAGGGAAGTAAAGGATAGCCTTCTCTCTTGTAAGTGTCTCTGTAGAGGGTAGGATGCGATTGATTGCTGGATATGAGGACATTTGGGGAAGCAGTGCTATCTGAGAGAATGCTCTGGAACCAGTTTACCAGTTCCTCTGACCGTGAAGTCGGCTGCAGCTGAACCTGTGCTGATGCAAGGAACTCTGAAAGGTGCTCCTGGTGCTTTCATTGTTGAGTATTGTTTCTTAAAGTGCATGGATGACTGATAGAAGTGCAATAGTTTTTTTTTTAATTTAATGTGTATCTGTTTTAGTCAGCTTTTTCACTGCTGTGATTAAATGATCTGA